AATACTGGCTGCATAATATTACTGCCGTTATTTCTTTGTGTTTGATTATAATAAATATTTATTATTTAGTTTTCAGGGTTTTCCAACAATGAAAGTGCTGACTTGTTACTTATAGTTTTCAGCTGTAAAAGTATTTTATACCGTAGTAAAAGTCTACTCACATGCTAAATAATATTATGGTTTTTGTGGTCACGTCGCGAAACTCTAGCAATTAGAGCAAAATTTCGACAATTGTATTGAAAACAAGTCTTATTAAATAGTGTACGGATATGCAATAATAAATACTTCTTTTTATAATTGTTAATACAAAGATCGAACACAAAGAAAAATTCCTTCATCTGATAGGACTCGAACCTGTGTCTGAATGTCAATTCAGAGCAACCGCTCTACCAACTGAGCTACAGATCGAGGCAACAGTATTTACGAATTTCTTTATGCGTTTCTTACAGACTTTTTTGTTTTAACGAGTTTATGCCATCTGTGACAAATCTATGATAGTTTTTTATTCTCTACTTTTTAGTTAAAAATGTGTCTTATTTATCGAATAATTTTATCTAATGAACTATATTAACTAGTGGCTTATTTAGTAAGGATATCAAGGTAAGGGCTAGTGGGCTATAGACCCCTAATTATCCCCCGAGGTCACGTAGGCCCAGTAAGACGTTATGATAGTCGTCGCGGTAGCTACGTTTATTAATTACGTGATGACGGAGAGTCCGTTATTTTTCATTTTCCTGGTAGTTCTTATTTGGCGGAAAAAATAAGTCAGTCAATAGGTAAAGAGGCTTTATGGTTGATTTTGAGCAATATGAAACTTTGGAGTATGCATCAAACATGTGAGCCGGCACATTTTTTTAAATATAATGGAGTAGAGGAACGTACATTATTTTAAGTGAAATGCTTTGAGCTCTAGGAAGAGCACATAAACTCTAATAATAATTTTGATATACACTAAACTGGCCTTTGTTTATCAGCTTTACATGTTTTGATAATCATTATGTTAAATTCAATGTATACGATGTATTTGTCGAAAACGTGTAGATTGTGCTAACGTTTCTCTTCCCCTTTTCGTCAACATTCATCCTATATGTATTTCTTATGAAGGTAATGTATAATATATACCTCGTATTCTCAAGATTCCACAACTGTCAAATTTGTTTTTTCCGCCTTTTAGATTTCTCTCTCTCTCTCTGAAATCGTTTAAACTCATTTGTCTGTTTAATCGACTGGTAGACTATAGTGCTAAAATTCTTTACATTATGGTTTAAGGCTTCAAGTCCCTCTTCCCCCGTTGTTCCTCTTATCCCACCTGATCTTAGTAGTGTTTAAATTTTCTTTAAACTTTATGTGTAGTTTGTAAATTATAAAAAATGTCAGATGGGTGTTTTACGATGGCAACTTGTCGTGTACTTTTAAATCATAAACTTTCCTGTCACTTACATGTTAATTATTATGATATCATAATGCCTTGTCTGTATGCATACAGTTTATATAAGTTATCGTTCTCGGTATAAGAACGAATGTGTTTGTTTTCTGAATGATTAAATAAATCTTACTCATCCGTCAGCTTGCAAACGGTGCACGTCATTAGTCACACTCATTTACTCCTGGCCTCAAACTAGGGAATTCCTTGGATTATGAGTACCAGAGTAACGGAATTCACTTTGGGGCACTTCCCAGAACACCCAGACCAGAACTTATTACTTACGGACTTAGTTCTACCAGGAATCGAACCCGAGATTTCCCCATCCCGTAAACCGTTGGGCCACCGAGGTCGTCAGTAATTAGAAAGAAATAACAAGTTTTAAAGGCTATGTATGTATTTTAAGGCTATGTTGAGTGTGTGCGTTATTATTAGTGTTTAATTAAATAAGACTTTCTCTGTTTATTAGTTAGTAGGTATATATTTGTTTAGAGTTACGTGATTTCATTTAATACGTGTTATATGGATACTGCGTCTTCTTTTTCACTTAATACAGATCTACGTCATTTGTTTTAAAATTGTAATTTTTAAACAAATGAAGCTGCTTTGCCAGCGGTTCCCAATCTTCTCCCTTCTTATATCAAAGAAAAAAGTCGCAATCCCCTAAACTATGAAAATAAGTAGTTTACGTCGGTTTCTGTTATTGAATTCGTTCCTTATTATGAATCCGCTTAGTTTAACAGACGTAATCTAGGAAACGTTGTTATATACGAGTTGAAATTTGTCCTGATTGCACATGTGAGTAGACTCAAAGGATCTGGGGTTAGGGTTGTCAAAATCCGTTCATATAAATACCTATTCTTCTAATTCAGTCTCATAATTATGCGTAAGTAAGGTAAATTAAACTGAAAATATACAAGCTGCGTTTCTAGCCTGAAATAAGTGGAATTTAGAATTTTCGTCAACATTTTTTTCCTAATTCAAAAGAAACACATGTATACATCATTAAACTATCATTAAAATAAGATTAATAAAAATAGTAACATTAAAAGTTTGATAATTAAGTTTTATAATAAAAAAAATTGTAAAGATCTTCAATTGCCTGGCATGTTACCGTCATTCATGAAATGTCACGTCGAGAAATCATGTTCATTAAATATTCACTACGAAAATCTAATTTTCATTTGTAATATAGCCTCTTTAGAAGAGTTTATTAAAAATATTATGACACATCCTCTTACACTTTATTTTAAATAATCAATATGCGACTGTCAATGCTTTACACACATTTTCCCATAAGCGGCTAGTTGCGGGGATTCCTGTTTATTGAAATAACTTATATACCATAGCCAATATACAACAATCAAACTGCCCGGGTATTAACCTATTTGTGTCCAAAATCTTGGGCGGAAAAGGCGATAACGGAATTTGGTAAAGAATCTTTTTTGGACGAAACTCCACTCACCTTGCAAGCCTTTGTGTTCTCACTACTAAGGATGCACATTACAATTAGATTTTTATGAATATCCATTCAAATTGCATACGATGTAACGATTTTTGTATCGATTTATTTCAATGCGATTTTCAAGCGAAACGATTCAATAGAAAGGCCAATCGAATCATCTAGATCTACCAACCCGATTTACAACAGTTGTAAATGTTATTGCCGTTGATTTCGGACGTTAATGGGTTTTAACTCGATTTAAATAAGGCGGTAATAAAGCGTCGGGAAAAAAACCGGGTACTTGTCCACCTCTGACCTTAAAGATTGACGCGCCTGCGACTCGGGAGTAAAACTAGCAGGTAGGGGTGCGACGCTCGCGGCTAGTCGCTCAGTGGAAAATGGTACTAACAGTTCTACACCGTTTCTTTTTCCAATACAAAACTACAAGGCTTTACACTATTTTTCTTTAAGTTCCTTGTATTAGAAAACAACAACTTCATCATCTCATCTTCCTCCATCCTCTTGAGAACAATTTAATGAAAAGCACTACTCATCAGTATAGAAGTTTCTTTGTTTCTATGCTAAACTACAATATTTCAGAACATAATTTTGTCATGGTTATATATTACATTTCACTGCAGGCGATTGTACCTAATTACAATAATAACTTCTCAAATTGATCCTGATAATGAAAAGAAAATATCATGTGTACAGATAGTGTCAAATTCCATTATATGTTGGTATAGATTAAGATGTTTATAAAGGCTGCATATGCATATAAATCTCCAAATTGATGATTTTATATAGTCAAAAAGACCTATATGTAGACAGTATGCTATAGATAGCAGCGATGATAATATATCTTACAGATCATAGCGATAATGGGCTAGAGGCATTTCGGAAACCCTCTTGAAAAGGAAAAAGGTCCATTATCTACCAAAGCAGAGTGGAAAAGAGCTGTATTTAATCAACCATAAGCAATTTGTTACTTTAATTTCTCCACGTTTAGTCAAAATAGCAAAGCACACTACCCTCCATATCATAACTAACCTAATCGTTATTTTTAGCAAAATTGAGTTATTAATATATCTGGATTCAGGGAAAACAGATCTACAACCTGCTATAAGCGGTTTGTTATATCTTATTTAGTTTCAGTTTTATTGTTAAGCGAAATCAGCGTTTGACATTTCTAAGAGTGGTTACACACGGCGACTTTTAGCAGCGATGCAGTAGCGATGCATGATCATGCTAATCGTCTACACACGCACGTGATGTCAAGTAGCGATACAAGCGCGCGACTGCATCGATAGAAATGCGCGAGTGCATCGCTACAATTGGGATTTATAGGCCATTGCATCGATGCAATCGCCTAAAATCGCAAATGTAGCAATGCAATCACGCGGTTCACGAACGCGTGTTTGCATCGCTGCTAAAAATCTCACTCTTGGGTGTCAATAAAACTTTAGATACCAATATCTGGAAAGTTACCGAAATGAAAATGTGTTATTTATGACAAGGAGAGCAGCACAGCACAAGATATTTCAAAACGGAAATAAACGCGATTTAACAATTTTAATTGGTATTTTGACACGAACCTATTTTAACCCACCTTTGGGTCAGGTTGCACTGGTCGCGGTCACGAGCATACTGGTGATATGATGTTACGTTTTCATCTCACTGGTGGAATCTTTATCCATCTTCGCTATGTTTTTCAAAATACCATCATACACAACGTAAACACGTTCTAATAATTCCCGATTTGAAATGTTAGTACAATGCATCGCGAATGATCGCGTGGGCTCCCAAGGCCCCACGTACGTCAAAATGTACATAACATGTGAAGTGATTCAGACCCAAACAATATTATTCCTATGGTTACATAAATGCCCAGTGTACGTCATAATGAAAATATTGCATTTGAATTTAACTTTATAATATTCTATACGACCATAGGGTATCTATGTTATGTATATCTATATGTATTGAGTTTTTCATACCTCCTTGCTTGGGCCAAAGAAGCATGTAATTATAATACATATTGATTTTAATGCACTTTGTACATTTATTTCTTTGTATTAGTACATTTTAACGTACTTTGGGCGCTTAGCGCTTTTCCATTGTAGTTAATTGGGTATTAAGAGGTTAAAAGTTGTTTACAGGAGAAGAGCTGCGTAGACTTGGTAAATAATGCACCTTACATTTGCAGAGTGTGATTTTTATCTATCTTTAAACGGAATTAATACTTTCAGAAATAAAATGACATGCAAACAACAACAGAGCGATTAGCATACGGTCTATTTTGCGTTGAGCCGATAAATTGGGGTCCGAGCTAATGATTTTGACAGGCAGCTGGGTAGGTGCGGGCTCGATGCGGACCACGTTCACTGAAATAGAAAATGTGATTTGTAGTCGTTTTAATTAATCTCCTCCAATCTATCTCGAATTAAAAATTTTCACCAGTTTAAGGGATGGATAAATGTTTTCAATTCTTTCACCAAACATGTGAGATTGTGTAGTTTAGACAATTCTTTGTATCTTTAGTCCAACTATAATCTACTTTTTATTGGGCATGAAACTACTTAAATTTTTTTCGGGTATAAATCGCATATATTTTGTTTATGCAAACAAACAACCGGCCGTTTGCAGGTCTCATGATCATGGCTGACTGAGATGGTAAAGTCATCAACCAGTTTTTTTATAGTTTCACGTGACGGGACCAACAAGTCGTGCTCCTGATGATAAATTTGTAGTTGTAGTTGCAGTACCATTCAGAGCTTCAAATCGCAAAGATCTCAGGGGCACTGCCATTGTGCCCGTCACCCTGAGACATAAGTTGACAAGTCCCATGTGCCTGTAATTTCACCAGCACCCGTAGCGCCCAGTTACACGAGAAGAAAGTTTTCGCGCGGCCGTCGCGCGGCTACCGCCCAGTAACTACGCCTTCATGTACATTAATGGCGATATAATAATCTGAATTCTATTTATTATGCAACAACATTTAAATTCCTCTCAATAAAATTACGGCGCGGGCCGCCGCGTAGACCAAATTCAAGCCAGGCTAGCCCGCGTGTCCGGAACGCTCATTTAAATTAAAACAGAAAATCTAAACAAATAGAGCGTATTTTGCCATGACAGTTAGACGCACGCGGTCGCTGCACGGCGGCAACGCGGATTCCGCTCTTCGACCGCGCGGCGACCGCGCAGGGCGAAAAGGGCGAGCGCGGTGAAATTCGTCTCGAATAAATGCGCCCTAACCCTTCAAAACCGTAACACACTTACGCTGACATTACTGCTTGGCGGCAGAAATAGGTAAGGTGGCATTACTACCCTGGACGAACTCTTTCACAAGGAGATCTACTAAAACAGTTATGTCTAATATTAATGCAAACCACCCTATTTATCAGTATAGTTCGAAAGTTATAAATTAATTAAATATCATATTTTAAAAAGCAAAACCCAACGAACATTCCAATTTACTTTTTATTATATTTTTGTAAACATAACAGAGTTTACTTAATTAATTTTTTATTGAATTGATATTCAATTATTTTTTGTGAAATTACTCCACTAGTTTGTTATAATTATTAATACAAAGATCAAACACTCAGAAAAAACACTCCTTCTAGAAAAAATTCCTTCGATCCGGTCGGATTCGAACCGACGTCTTCTTGCATACCGTGCCAGACGCTATACCAACTAAGCCACGGAACGAACCAACGGACCTCACGAATTTTTCTATGTGCTTGCGTCGTGTCTTTGTACTTGGTCTTTCAACGACTTTTTAGTCGTAGCGCCATCTATGAGCAATCTTTGACAGATTTATCACCATAACAGAGTTTACATTTGTATAATTGTGCAGTGTCACAAAAACCAATTTTGATTTTATCGTAGTTGTCCTCTACTACCCGTATTCATTTCATTTGACATTACAGTTTGTAGTTATAAAGCAATCGAAAGTATACAGTTGACACTGATCATTTACTCGTAGTTGCAATTCTTCCTGCCCTGGACGATCGATACATCAAGTGGTTGAGAAGTGCTTTTATGTGCAAATCTCTGTGTGTTTGTATTGATTATTAAAAAAATACTTGAATCGATTGTTCGCTATGGTAATTAGTTTGTTTTTCCATGTCTTAAAAGTCCATTTCAAACACAATTTTTGTAATTTAAAATAATCTATCCGTTGACAGTACAATTACGTTATAAATGTAATTTAGTAGAACTGTGGCGCTGCCGCTAGAGCGATCAAGAACCGCAAAAAGCCAAATTCGCCAACCTTAGCCAATGCTACAGCTTTGCGGTGAAAGCCCTGGATCTCTGGGGGCTATAACCGAAACTCCTCGCTAATGAGCTTTAGTTCGCCTCGTTTAAGCCTTCGGTGACCCGAAGGCTGGTAGCTACTTCCGCTAATAAGTTCAGCGATCCAAAGGGGAAATATTGCTAGTCTCCTGGGCACGTTGCCTCAGGGAGCGGCCTTCGATAATATTTTCTACCTCTAAATATTTTATCAATCTATATTCTATGTTAAGCATATTTAGTACGTTATTTCCATAATTAAATGCCTTTACAAGTACAAATACCTGTTATCATTCTTATATATACTCAGAGATCAAATATATAATAATTACACACGTACCGTACAGTTTTTTTTTATAAAGAAGATTTTAAAGGGTAATTTTCAGGTTAGTTTTCTGTACCTAATTTCGGTGGCAATTTTTATTAAGTATTCAAATATATTACCGTGAAATATTCAATAATATTTCAGCACACTACACCCGTATATTAAGTAATATTTTATGATAATATTCTAGAATATTTATATAATAACAATTGCCACCGGAATTAGGTAAAACTAACCTGAAAATTACCCTAAACTGCTATAAAGTAAATAAAAAAATATTTACGAAATTATGACCTACACAGTCAAATCGAGTTCTTAGGTTTTTACGTTTTAGGTAGGCCACGTTGTCTTTTGTCTAGGGTAACTTTAAAATTTCCCTTTCGTAATAATTCCAGTCTTTACTTGTACAATACTGCTTTAAATGTTGTTTGACGGATTTTTCGTTGTCAAAATCGTGTTTATTAAAAAAAATGAGTAAAGGAGCTATGTCGGACGAATACGGTGTTTAGGTTAGCCACCCCAACTTTAATAGTTTACAACAATAGTTCACCCAACTGCAGTAGATCTCTACGGCTTTGTCTGTGCGGTTTGCCATAATTATGATAAAAATAATACGATACCTATACCATTCACCAGTTCTGGACGTTTTCAAGAATTATGAACTTTCCCGCCTATTCTTAAAATACTCGCTAAAATATTATTTTTAATACTACCATAGACAATATACTATTTTAGTTCTTTTTTGTTTAAACTTAGTCAATGGAAAAAACCGCAGGGCCTTTTGGCCAGCCTTTTCACATTGGTGCCCCTTATGAAAAGTGCACAATAATACATAGCACACAATAATATATTCATTCCTTTTCTTAGTTAAAAATAAATTAACGTGAAATGTATAACGAGCAGAAAAAAACATTTTTGATTTGAAAATAATTTCGTAAAAAACTACCGCGTTGGACTACCAGTCTATTCCAATGATGTGAGTAAAAAAAAATACTTACCACAGATTTTTTTTTATAAGTCAAGCTCCTTTAATGGTGAGTGGTAGTTCTCATTTATTACTGACAGATATATCGACTATTCCTGTGTAATCTATCTTATGCTTTATATTTTTATAAATAGATGCGTTTATCTCATAAATTACTTTATTTTTGTGTAGGTCTTTAATACTCAACAGTAAAATTGTAAAGAATGAAAATATTGTTTGTATCAAATTTTATTCCAATACCTTGACAACTTCAGCTATTAGAGCGGTTACACACAGCGATGCAAACGCGATGCAGTAACGATGCAGCCGCTAATCGTCTACCCTTACACACGCGCGTGATTGTAAGCAGCGATGCAAACCCGATGCAAGTGCGCGACTGTAACGATTAGAGATGCGCCGAGTACAAGTTTTACTGAGTAACCGAGTACCGAGTATTACTCGGTTTAACATTTGCCGAGCCGAGTATTCGACCGAGTTACTCGGTTCATTACAACCGGAACGCGATGATCCTAAAAGTCCCATTGCTCTGGATTTATACCAATATGTCAATGAAACTTTATTGTCGCGAGAGCAAAGGCCTTTCCTATGGTGGGCAGGGCATAAAACAAGGTATCCAAAACTGGCACAGTTAGCACGAGTGTGTTTATGTGCACCTGCAAGCACTGTGTATAGCGAGCGGTTATTTCCGGAAGCGGGTAATGTGTATGAAGAAAAAGGAACACACTATTACCTGAACGCGCAAAAAGCCTTGTATTCCTACATTATAACTTGCCTTTGTTAAATTTTAAATATTAATAATGTAAACTTTCTTTTTAAATTAAAACTTATTGTTGCAATTGTCTAGAATTTGTAGTAATAAATCTCTTTTGATTATTTTAAATATATTGTTGGTTTCACTTTATTATGTCTATAGCTGTAATGCTTTATTTTTACCGAGTAACTCTTCTCATGAACCGACTTATTCGGCCAAGTACGAGTAATAGAACTCCGTGGCTGTGTGGCCGAGTACACCGAGTACCGAGTAGCAAACGAGTACTCGGCGCATCTCCAGTAACGATACAAACGCGCGATTGCATCGCTGCCCTTGGGATTTATTTGCATCGATGCAATCGCCTACAAATCACGTTGTAAACGTCGCCGTGTGTAACCACTCTAGGCTCATTGGAGTCCTTTCTAGACATTAAAATCCCCCCTATGTTGTAAATTCGGGCTTACGATTCTTTACGCAGGAAGTACCGATATAGGCATGCAAGACAGAAACCACTTCATAGTCATAGACATTTATTGATAATCTCATATTATTAAAAAGTATGGACGTTGATGGTATAGTGAAATACGTTGATTTAAAGAGACATGTTTATTGTTCGGTCTCCAGAATATAAGTAAGTCAATAATACAATATAAAATAAAATGTAAACTTAAATGCCAACCAAGCAATACGCACCACATGTTGCAGTATACTATAAATATCGTCTATCTATACTACATTATAGGGGTTCCAAAGAAAAAAAATGTGTTACGTGTTACTTGTTAAAACACATATTTTTTAACTTAATTACAAGAAAATCTTAATAATTATTTAACAATTCTATAAAATTTTACTTATTAATTTACAAACAATTTAGTATTATTCTTATGCGTTATATGTATATTCTTTGCCATCTTTCAAAATTTTTACATTTGGTGACAAATCTTTAGTAACAATATGTGGTCCTAAATAAATGTTGTCTAATTTACTTCCTACTTGGGTTTTCAACAAAATTAAATCATCTTTCTTA